GACTCCAACTCCAATAATCTTCCTAGCCCTAGAGAAATGCTGGAGAATGTCATAAACCCTCCAGCTGCTACAACAACCAAAGAGAACTTCAAGGGCATCAAAACATTACCTGTTTATGTCGGTGTTCAGGTGGGCAGGCAGGCAGAGAGGGAGGCCAAAGGAGCACTGTACACAGTCAAACAGAAATCAAACTCAGCAATCAGCCCCATAAGCCCAGATGATGACACACTAGAACAGGTGTCTTTCATAGACAGCTCAGGGAAAAGCCCCCTTACACCAGAGACCCCCAGCTCTGAGGAAGTCAGCTATGACCTCACAGTCAGGACCCCTGATGGCTTTATGGGATTCATGCCAGGGAAACCCAGTCCCATCCTGGAGGTATCTGAGGAATCAGAGGAGGATGACCAAGGCAAAGTTGTTTTCTCTTTTAAAGAGGCCCTGCCAGAAAGGAAAACTGATATTCATGCCACCCAAGCAGACCTTGCTAATGCTAATAAGCAAGAAACAGAAATGAATGATAACCTGCAGGAATTAACAAATAGATTCAACCAGCAAGTAACAACAGCCAATGGCGAGTATGAGGAAATAACAGGCCAGGAGCATCAAGAAGTTTCAAAAGACAAAGGTATCGCATATATTGAGTTCCCTCCCCCTCCTCCTCTGGACTCAGCTTCAGAAATTTCAGACCCAGAAAGGAAAGGTTCCTGTGCCTCTTCAGAGACTGAGACAGAAATGATGGAGGTAAACTTACAGGAAGAACACGACAGGTATCTGCTGACTGAGCCAATTATACGAATCCAACCCCCTTCCCCGGTGCCTCCTGGGGAAGATGACAGTCAGTCAAATGGTGATGAAGGAGATGATGATGAGTCAATCTTTCAACCAATTCCTTGCAAGAAATTTACTTTCAAAGTTCCTGAGGAGGAAGAGGAAAAGAAGAAAGATAAGGAAAAGGCGACTAAATCCAAAAAACATGACAAAAATGGAAACAACAAAGAACTTAATGGTGGGACCAATGGCTCCAATGGTTCTTATGGCTCCAATGGCTCCAATGGTTCCAATGGTTCTAATGACAAAGGAGAGGACTATGAATATGAACAAAATGGAAACGATCAATCGATAACAGACTGTTCAATAGCCACAACAGCTGAATTTTCTCATGACACAGATGCAACAGAGATAGACTCCCTAGATGGATACGAACTTCAGGATGAGGATGATGGCCTGTGTGAGCAGGCAGATTTACGGTTGTTTGGTCTTCCAGACAGCCGGAGAGATGTCTGGGCAACAGACACTTTTAGGTCCACTGACCGCTCTTTTCCCCAGACCAAACTTGAAGTTATTGAAGAGGAGAAAACCCCAGAAGAATGTCAAAAGGACTCTTTCAAAAAAGATACCCCCTCAAATGGTGGTAAACCTGATGCTGTTAGTAAAGATGGGGTTACTAGTCAGGAACAAAAACCCTCAGATAAAGAGGGATTTTCAGACACTTACTTTAGTTATAAGTTAGAGGAGGAGTTTAACTCTCCTTTTAAGACTGTTGCCACTAAAGGGCTGGACTTTGACCCCTGGTCCAGTAAAGGTGGAGAAGAAGATATCGTTGACATGGGAGGGACAAGGGGAAGCAATGGTGAGCCTAAGCCTTTTGGACTAGCAGTGGACGAACAGTCTCAGGCTACGACACCAGACACTACCCCAGCCCGAACACCAACAGACGATAGCACGCCGACAAGCGAGCCAAATCCATTCCCCTTCCATGAAGGGAAGATGTTTGAGATGACACGCAGTGGTGCGATTGACATGAGCAAGAGGGACATGGTGGAGGAGAGGCTCCAGTTTTTTCAGATTGGTGAGCATTACTTCTCGGCGGGCAGGTACAGTGTCAGAGAATCAGAGGTAGACGCCTCCTCACAACACAGGGATCAGTTTAGTACTCAGGATCCCACAGATACCTCAATAGTTCCTCAAGTCTCCATTCAGACTACCACTGTCCAGTTAGAAATATCAAATATGGCTGGCAGTTACAGCATATGCAGAGACTCAACTTCCAACACTGAGCCTTCATTCTCCACTTTTAGAACAGGATTCAAGTTGTCATCTGATAAAACTTATGATGCATCAAATAACAGTTCTAAATGTAGAACAACAGGCACCTTTGATAATATAACCTCAGGATCAACTGTAGATAGTTCTTACTCTGTAACCTCAAACTACACAGATTGTGCTAATTTTAATACATCAGGCATGACAGATTATTATTCAAATCACAGAATTCCTTCAGGTATGTCCAAACAGAATGACCATTTGGATTGGATCTCAGAAAATCAGAACACTTGTTACCAAAGCACAGATAATTCTTTCGCACCTTCACAACAGATAAGCAATCCCCAAACATGGAGCAGCAATACCAGTAGCAACATCCCTGTTTCCCATTATGTCCATTCAGATGTCGCTCAGGCTGGCAGTATTGTGCTTAACATGTTGTCCTCCTCGGGACTGCAGGAGATCAGCAGGATAGAGGCGTCCTTCAACCAGCTAGAGGTAAACAGCAGGGAAGGCAGGGTTTGTCCTAATGTAGCAATAACAAACACGGCAGCCAAAGAGGTCAAACCCCAGATATGCAAGTCCAGGTTACCAGTGAGGGTGCCCAGCCGCAAACTATGCAGCCAAAGTCAAACAATAGTGAAAGACAAGGCACAAGAAAATGCTGATAAACTCAAAGTCAGGGAACATGCAATGCATAAAGTCAGGGAAAGATTAGACCCTTTTGAGAATTTATTTCCTAAATCTAGAATCCCAGTGATGAAAGCCATTAAATACCCCTCTTTTTCCCGGGAGCAGAAGCAGGTTAGAACCAAATCTGCAGTTAGTGATACAAGCATTAAAACTAGCAGGGGTAATAAACAGCTAACTAAAAGCAGATCCAGCACTGAACAAAGATATAGTTCAGTGAAAACCCCAAAAAGTAGCACAAATGAAACTGGGAGAAAAAGCAGTGTAGTGATCTCAAAAAACTTTAAAACAAGGTCTATCACTAGCCAGGTAGCCATCCCTATGGACCAAACCATTCCCAAGGAGGCTGACACAAAGTTAGAGGGGAAAACACTGCCCACTGAGGACGAAGAGAGCTGCAGCCTCAGCACTACCAGGAACACTTCCCTGTCAGAACCATCTAAAGCTTCTAGAAGTTCCTGCCCTTCACGCACCTCTACCTCCACCTCCACCACCACATCAACACCATCTGCTAGAGATGTGAAAGCTGAGGTTGAGCAGGCCAGCAGTGAGAGGATGAGGAGGAGCAGGAGGAAGAGTAGGCGGACACATGGAGGGAAGGAGCAGAAGGATGAAGGGAGTCAGGTTGATCAACCAATCACGGCTCCTGTCACGGAGAACGAGACTAGTTTGTAAACTCTTTCTAAACACTTGTTATACTTTATCTTTCTCTATGAGATGCATGTAGCTGTTGTGGGTGCTTTGTGATGTGACGTTGTAAGTGTAGTTGTCACTTCTTCTTCCTGTCATTCTTGTTATTTGTGTCCTGTGCTGTCTGATTTAGACGAAGACCTAAAGGCGAAAACATGGATACTCAAAATTTGTCTCTGGATCAAGCACAAGATTTTATTCTGTTTTGACTTTCTAATTTAAGATGTTAGGCTAAAACAACTGGATGAATTACCTCATAGAAGTAATAACCAGCTAACAAGAGCTTTACAACAGACTATAGTGATGTCTCTGGTGTACAGAAAAGATACAGGAACTACAATTTCAAAATAAGTATCAGTATCAGTTTGAAAGTAAGAACATTTGAGCAAAGTGAGCATACATCCCTTTCAATTACTGTGGGCCATCCTGACACTGAGATCAAGGTAGCCTTGCACCTCACCACATGACACCACACCACTCACCTCCACTCTAGACATGATTGAGACTGAAACATAAAAGGATTGTGTGGGTACAACATGACCTTGTGTTTGTTTTGGTCTGCTTGCCTGGTTGGTTGGTTTGTAGATTTTGGTGGTACTTTTGCTCTCTTGAAATCGCTGCGAAAACAATCCATCAGCTGAACTTGACAATCACGTGAACGTCAGCCACAGAGGAGGGTGTGTGTCGTTTGCAACTCGGTGGAAAATCTTGTGCGGCTGGATCACTCTTGATTTCAAGTTGAAGCCATGGATTGCTTTTTTCAGTGGGAGGGAATGTTGCCTGACGCTAGATCGTTTGTTGTTAGTGATGTGATACAAAAATCTTTTAACTCTAAACTCTTACTACTAATACTAATACAACTGAACATCAAAGAATTTAGTGTGAAATTGTGATTTTTTTCTTTTTTCTTTTCTGGCCTCACAGATCCTCATGCTTGTGATTGTATTTTGTATTTTCAGCTGTCTTACTGATGTTTTTTAATAGTGAGTTTTGTGAGTACGAGTTAGCTTTCGAGATGCTAATAAGCAGGTTTTTGAGCTTTAGACAGAACTAGGCTAGCTAATTCCCTCAGTTTACAGTCTTTATACTAAGATAAGCTGACCGTTTCCTGGCTATAGTTTCATATTAAAACAGACAGATGTGAGAGTGGTATCAATCTCCTCTTCTAGTATATTTCCAAAATGTCAAATAATTTCTCTAAAACAAGCATCCATTATCTAAACTGAATCATTGAGGAGAGTCTGGCCAGAAAAGCTGTATTTTGTTTTCCAAAGGTGAGACATGGGACAGTGAGCTAAAGTTGATCTTTATGTTTGATATTAATATCTCATCAGAAAATGGCAAAACAGAGAGTTTAATTAAGTAGGTATTCATTAACTAGGTATTTAGTAGGTATGGTTAAACCACATTAATGTCAACAGACTTCAGTTCACAATCCCAATCTCTTTCTTCCATTAAATGTCATTTCTCCCCTCTGCAGCCATTTTATGAGAACCTCATTTAATTCTGGGGAACGTTGTCACAATACCTCACATTAACTGTTCGCTGTCTTGCCCCCTCCCTGCTTCCTCGCACAGGCCCTCAGAGTCCCTGTGAGAGAACAGACCTCCGCATGGCAATAGTAGCTGACCACCTCGGACTCAGCTGGACTGGTGAGTCTACACACATCTCTCATTTTTTCACACTTTGCCAAAAACAAGCTTGAAGCAATGCAAGAATACTGTATTTATTATGGTAATCAATATGACATGGAGAAACAGCTGCAGTGATGGAAGTATATCAGTTTCATCTGAATCAGTTAATTGTCCGAGCAGAGACATAAACTTGTGACATGATACCGGAGGATTCGGTATGTGAATTTTAAAGAACACCCATGTGTGAATGAATCAGCCTGACTAGAGCCCAGCTCTCAAACCGCTACTTTTACAGTGTTTGTTGCCATCTGGTGGACATACAGTATAAAATATCTTTACTTGGCAGTGCTGCAGTGGTAGTTATAGTCACATACATCATCGTCAACACAAATACAATACGTAGAAGAATTACAAAAACTCAAATTGCACTGTAACTTTTCAATTTCATTTGTAAAATTTAAACATACTCACCTCATGTTGAGACTTATTAGGAGTGAAGGCTGAAAAATATATAAAGGAAATAATAATTTAAATAATTTTACTAGCAAAAAGCTTTTATATCAATGTCTTTATATTCTTCATTGGCATGTAGCTTTGTGTTTTAAGAGGAACAGTGTGATGGCATTTTCGTATATTGTATTGGAGCAGAGATCAGGGTGTGGCCTCTGCAGTTTAGCCCAAGCCTGTCCACCTGCACTGCAGCACTGCCCTACGCCTGTGTGCATGTGTGTGCACTGTCATCCCCTGAAGTGTGTATGAGTGTGAGTTGTTGTAGTTGTGTGTCTCTCTGTCCAGTGACCGTGTGAGTGCTCAGCAGAGGAAAGGAATCTAATCCATATTTAATGTGTGTTCCTGTTGCAGAGCTGCAGTGAACGAGCAGCTCTGGTGAACATTACGTTCTCGTGTTTTTAGATTTATAGCCCATGTGCTTGTCTGTACAGCAGTGTTTCACTCCTTCACTATCTTTAGATTGTGCCTGGCACAGTGTTTGGCAGTTACAGTTATTCAGGAATGAGCACTAAGGAAATAAATATAAGGAAAATGGTTGACATATATCATGGTGATGTTTTCAGTGCTACAGTTTCATCACATCACACATGTCCATCACCTCTTGCAATCAAGTGAAGCCTGTAACATAAGAACCAGTCAGTTGGAAGCTGGATGTTATTTGATGTGAATTATGATGCTGCAAAGTTGAAATCTAATTTAAAATGTCAACCTCTTCATACGTTTTGTTTAATAGCTAATTATCACTGCTGTTTTTGTGTATTGCTGCACAGTATTTCCCCTGTGGTGTGTTGTTCAAATTCTGAGTGTCAGTAAACACCTCTTCATCAGATAACTGCCTGTTTTCTAAAGCTGCTGCATTTTTTTGAACTGTCACACAGAACATGCTGCTTGATAGGTGATAAATGACAGTATCTCAGTGCAGACAGTTTTTAGCATAAGTGACCTCACTAGAAATGAGACTCCTGAGGCACCCAGTCAGCAACAAAAATGCATCATTTTGCTCTGACTTTCTCATGACAAAAACTCATTTATTGTGGTGTTTGTGTGTGGTTGTAGAGCTGGCCAGGGAGCTGGATTTCTCTGTGGATGAGATCAACTTCATCAGAGTGGAGAACCCCAATTCCCTGACAGCACAGAGCTTCATGCTCCTAAAGAAATGGGTGCACAGGGATGGTAAAAATGCCACAAGTAAGCAGGGTGTGCCTGTACTGTTTGTATGTGTTTTTCGGAGAGAAATGTATCATAATTCATATCCAGGTCTACTTTTTTTTTAACTGGTATTATCTTATCTCAAAAAAGGTGTTAAGACAATATTAATGTTTTGTGGTATTGATATTGAAATAGCTTCCTGTCAATGTAATTCCTTTGTCTCTCTCCCCTTCAGCGGACGCTTTAACTGCGGTGCTGACTAAGATCAATCGGTTGGATATTGTGACTTTGCTGGAAGGGCCCATATTTGACTACGGTAACATTTCAGGCACACGCTGCTTTGCCGATGATAACGCAGTATTCCCGGATCAGTCCGATGGTAAAGTGTAGCCCACCCTAGCTGAACTCTCAGTCTATCTCTCAGTCTATCCCTTCACCCTTCTTCACCTCCTCTCTCAGCCAGATAGTCAGACCTGACTGTGCAAACAAATACAGAACCAATCGGGCTTGACCAAACAGTGGAAGTTAATTACGAGTCAATCAAAATGACTTAATGCTCCAGCAGGTTCATTGAGCTCATAGTTAATGGACCATCAGGTAATAATAGCATTAGAGTTGTCTTTACCAAGCAGTCACCCCAGTCAGCTTGTTAGTTTTCCAACACTGGGCAGTGCAATTAATTTGTAGCACTCAGTCATTGGAACATGAATGGCAAGTGATAGATTTTTGGGGATTATCAATAATATTTGAAAATCTCAACAAAAAAAAAAAGAAATTAGTTCCCGCTTGCTTAAACAATATTGATTTTAATTGAGGGCAGGAAAATCTGTACCATTTTAGGTGCATGACACTTTTTAGTGTGTGTGACTGTTTTTGTAAAAATGTTTAGAAGCATGGTCCTGAGGCAAATGTAAGCGAAGAATGAACTGGTGTTTCTGTCCCATCTGATAAATGTATTGATAATCTTGTTGATAAGATAATGAGCTAAGCACATTTTTCAGCTGGGTTCTGGCACTGGTTCATAATTTGGTTAAACAATAGTTGTGTATTTGTGTATGTTAATAGTTTACAACCTATTTCCTTTTATCTATTTGTGCTATTAAAATACATAAACACATAATTATAACAACCAATTTACAATAACAGCATGCTTGCTTTAAGCAGTATAACAAGTCTTTTCATCTCTCTTTCTATATTTCTCTCTTTCTTCTTAATTGAAAATTGAATGTGGCAGCCGCTAGTTTTCTCTGATTTTGACAGACCCAATGTGGGCCATTTCAGAATCTGATGAAAATGTGCCTTTTGTTATAGGAAGATTATAAATTATGCAAGTTACAATTAGCTTGTTTATCACTGTGGAACAAAGATGACAAGCTGTGAGGCAAAGATACTGCGTGAAGAAGTACTTTTAAGGTACTTTAAAAAAAATCATACTCCTCAGTGTCACAGCTCGGTCAAATCTGAACAGATCATATGTGTATCACAGACATGACACACATATTTATAGATTCAATGACTTATACTCAAAGGATATATTATCTCTTCATGTATCTTATAAATCTGCTTATAAATCAGAGCAAAAAGACACTCCTCATAAGTATATAACAGAACTTGCCTCAGAATCATCACGTGTTTAGGTTTACTTCAGTATCAAAATAATCCGGTGATAGTTGTCCATATATCCAGGGGTAGACTGCAAAATGAGACTGCTAATAGCCAATTTGGCATACTTTTAATGGTTCCAATTTGATAAAATATTAACAAATATTGTTAAAAAATTATATGTAGGTCAAGAAACAGCCCAAACCAAATGAAAATATATTTCCTCCACTTAGTAGTTGTACATACAGAGTTGGCAGGAAATTCTGAAATGGGCCTCATTGCAAATCTGTTTAATTCCGTTTCCAAAAGTCATCTGAACACAAGGATCAGTGTTACTACTGCTTCCACCAAATCTGGAGCAAAGTTGGTCTTTTTGTGAAGATGATGTCAAGTGAAACCAACAATCAATAGATAAAAAGATCAACAAAATGCATGGCTATGGCTTTGTGTGAAAGGCTGCCTGTTCTGATGTTGTCAGCTTGCAACGATACACTTTTAACACTCTTCAAATGGGTGGAGCCTTTTCAACACATCCGCGAGTGTTTCTGCGTTGATCAGGACGTGCTCTGCCTCGGATGACACTCCACATGGGTTGAAAATGAAACACCCTTTTTCAAAGTGTACAGTGTATAATTATGCTTCTGTGTCACTGCTGTTTGCTGTACTGTACCTCTCATCTCCTGGGTTCCTCCTAGCCTCCCAGCCTCTACGCTCCACTGCAGCTTCTCCTGCTTTGAGATCAGCAGACTCCCTGCCTTCCTCCTCCTCCTCCTCCTCCTCCTCCTCCTCTTCTTGCTTCTGAGTGACTAACTCCTAAAAACAAATACCCTTGTCAGCGCTAAACACCACTAACCAGCTAATTTCCACCAATGGCTAACTTCTGCTAACTTCAGCTACTTTTGGATCCAGTTGTAGCTTCTGCTCTTACCCTCGCTGCTGAGCTCAGGCTGACTAGAGTAAGACTGGAAACACAACAGCGCCCCCTGCCAGCACTAACAACTGCCCGCAACAGCTGCAGATCTCTCCTGCCCAAACTGTATGGCACCTCCAGCTATGTAGCAAGCGTTAGCATTAGCATATCCTCAATCATGAGGCCCTTTCATTACAAGACCCTTTCAACTAAGATGTTGGAGCTTTTACAGGCCTAAGAAGGATTTTATATTCTACAAGTACACAAAAATGACACATAATCTGTTTTTATAACATACTTGAATTTAACTAAAATGTCAGTTAAACAAAGGAATGAAGTATTTCTCAAACAGAAATATATCCTTGGTAGTGTGGTTCAGCTGTGTCCCAATTCCATAGTAATTCTAAGTAAGTTTTGAGTAATTAGTGTGTCTGCAGTTGAACAGTGGTTAAATTAAGTAAGGTGAGTCAGTATGTGGACAGAAACACTTAATTTTTGAGTTGGTTGTTGATGTACAATACTGTCCCACAATGCAATGCACAAAGAAATAGCAGCAGAAAAAATTTGAATAAATTCCCAGTTTTGCTGACAAACCTCCAAAAAGATCTTTGGAGACAGACAGGAAGCAGCCGTGCAGACGTACATTCGCCAAACCAACCACTTAGTCTTCATCACTGAAATTAAATGAGTAATACAGTTTGAAAACACTTGTGACGAAGAATAAATTTCACCTTTGTGTCGCTTGTTGAAATGAGCTACACAAACATGAGATTTACTCTTTATTGGAAGTGGTTTGAAACGATATTTTTGACTTTTGCAAGTGAACATACGTTAAGGATGAAGACTAACTGGGTGTTTAGGCAAATGTACATCTGGTTAACTGCCCCAGCTCCATTAAAAAGAGCAGTTCACGGCCCCTTTTCTGTGGCTGCCACCCAGGACTGCCCAATGTGTTGCTGACATACTGTTTTATTCGTTGGTTGTATAAAATAAATGATACACAATAAATACTGTAGTAAGAAATTGGGACTCAGCAGTTGTTTGGAGGGTTGGCAAATATTTCTGGAGGAATTTATTCAAATTTATTCTTCAGTTCCCATCCTGTCTTCTAACTCACAGCTGAACAAACTTTAGATCGCCTAGATCCCAAAACTTGAGTCAGAGTGTGACTTTATTTCCTCTCCTGTAGTGGATGTTTTCGATGCTACTGCTCTTGACTAAGAAGTCTATTCTTGCTTATCTGCTGAGATAAGCAATCCGATGATTCTGGTCTGCAATATCTTTGCTTCTGCAGCTTCTTCAACATCAAGCCTTCGTCTATCATGTGTTCAATTCATTGTCTGTGCATTAACTGGTTTGGTTTTAAACTGCTGTGTTTTTCGTTTCATCCAAGTCTTGTCTGACAATTGTTCTGTGTTTTATGTTTTTTGTTTTTTTTTCTGTGTGATAATTGAAATAGCTCCAAAACTTGTCAGATCTCCTACATTCCCCCTGTGTCCTCGAACATCTCAGCCTGTCACCCCTCTCCATGCTAGTCCTCCCTCCTTCACCTCCTCTTCCTCCCCTCCCTTTTATTTCAGCCATATCACCGCTTTGTCTTTCCCCTCCCCCCCTGCTGTCCTATCTCCCTCCTCTGTCTTTCACTTCCCGTCACCCCCATCATCACCTCCTGTTTACCTCCTCCCTGTCGCTCCTGTCCTCCCTCATTTCTTCACCCTGCCTTACTCCCCGCCTCTTCCCTCCTCCCCTCGAAGTCCCCTCAGCTTCTCCTCATTCTTCTCTTCCCCTCGCTTTCCTCCGTCTCCCCTTTGTCTCCCCTCGTCTCCTCCTTTCTCCTCAATTCCTCCACTCATTCTTCGCCCTCCTCCCCATTCTGCTTCCCCTGCACCTGTTAAGCCGTCTCCCCCTCTTCCTTCTCCTTACACCTCCCTCTCCTTATCTAGTCATTCCTCTCCCTCTTTTCCATCTCCTCCTCCTCTTACACTTTCTCCCCCTTTCCCCTCCCCTCCCACTTCCACTCCCCCCTCTCCATCTTCAATATGTGCTTCCTCTCCTCCTCAACTTGCTTCCTCTTCTACGCCTCCATCCTTTTCCTCCCTTTCATCCTCCAATTCCAGTCTCTCTCCCCCACCTCCATGTCCCCCTTCGCCTCCCCTACATCACCACTCTCCTTCTCCCCCTTCACTTCCCCCCTCCCCTCCACCCTCTCCCCTACCTCCCGGTGTCCCTCCTTACTTCAGGCGGGATCGTTCAGTCCCTGAGCTTTACATCTAGATGCCTGCTGGTTGCTCTGCTCCTCCTCTCTGCCTTTTGTTTCAATCAACACAACTAACCTACCTGGATTCAGCTCAAGCCTCTGCTCATTAACTGGAACAATTACTGAGCCGATAAGCTGAAGTCGAGCTTGTTTTAAAGTGCTGTAATGAAGACCCCCCCTCATTAATTTCACAAAATCAGTAGCTCTGGTTTTGACTCTGGGTCTGGAGGTTAAGTGCTTTTACAAAAGGCTTTGCTGACTTAAGTGCCACTTTGACACATCACTCCAGCAGTTCTTGATGACTTCAGAGTGACTGAATGTTCATGTACATTTTATATAAATACAGTATAAGTGAAGTTTCTATCTTAAATTTTATATTCTGCCTTTGGTACTTTAATTTCTCTGTTTCCATCTCTTTGTGATCTAGTCATGTGTCTTGTCTGCAGTGCTGGTTCAGCAGTCACACACCACTTGTTTGAGAAATGTGTTGGTTGAAGAAGGAAAATCCTGAAAGCAGTATTAATTGATTTGTATTTGCCAATAAGGGGCAGCAGAACAAGTTGCAAAACAATGACATATCACCTTATGGAGTTAAGATATGGTTAATGAGGTAGCAAACATCTTTACACATTCAGCTGACATGAAGCCACATGAGCATTCATTTAAAGTTGTGTTTTTAGTCACCGGATGTATGCAGGTTCACTATTCAACACTGTCTTAAGAGAAATATATTTTTTTTTAGCTGCTAAATTGGTTGCAATATTCACAAGCTAGTTGCTAACTTTGTCTGGCTGTCATTTGATGCTAGGTATGTAGCATGCAGGTGCTTTTTTGCATATGTGAGAATTGTCACCAAACTCTGTAGTTCCAATCAGCTTTACAGACCTTTTTAGCCACTTTTAGCTCTTTTTCTTTTTGTTTTTTTTGGCCCACAAACTCCACTGTACCTAACTTCCTGTCAAAATGAGGCAGCTGTTTTTATCAAAAAATCATTGTACACTTCCTGCACATTACCAGACAAGCAGCTAAAGATCCGCATATTTCTACCAGGAGACGGTGGAGACCAAAACAGAGCTTAATCTGGCTAAATTAATGGATCAATGTACACCCGCCCAGCGCTAAACGACAGGTCAACACAGTTAGTGCCTAGCTGTTGAACCTAGCAAAGTATTTAGCTGCTAAAGAGACAGATATTTCATGTTGGTAGAGAAAAGCTAAAAGAACATAAACACAATTCCAAATGAATTCTAATATTGTTGTGTGTCTGCAGGATGTGTAAACAGGCAAATGTTTATCAGCAAGTTCCCTTTAACAACTTCATAAAGTGATAGCTTGTCAATGTTGTGTTCAGAGCTTGTTTCTGCTGCCCCCAAGTGGCTAAAGAAAACAGTTAATGCAGCTTTAAAGTGTGTTTGAGTTACACCTGTGTGACTTTTGAACAAATGCTGCCTTTAGATGTTACAAGTGTTTCTCATCTCATCACCTCCACCACTCTACCTCTCCTTCCCCTCCTCCTTCCCTCCCCTCTTTTTTCTTTCCCTCCCTCTTCAATCCCCTTACCCTCTAATCCTTTACTCCTGCCATCCACCCAGGATACCACAATATAGATCTGGAGCTGCAAACCCCCACAGAACTGAACTACGAGCCCCCCACCCCGCTGCGCTCAGACGACTTCTTTAGCGAGGGTGATGCTAGCTTAGATTCCCCTAGCAAGACCACGCTTACTAGACCTAGCGACCTTTCTCTCACTCAGACCACCAGTACCACCAGCAGCGACCCCCTCACAGTCGCCCCAGCCCCGGCCCCCTGTGGCCTGGTGCCCCCCATTGTTGGGGCAGAAGATACAGCCTTAACCACAGGAGAAAAAGTGGAAGATAAGCTGGTTTCTTATGAGAGGCCGGATAATGACAGAAGGGCAGTAGAGAAATCAGGAACAGAAGAACTGAAGGCAGGGCCAGTTGTTGGTTTGGAGAGAAACCAAAAAGAAGATGCAGTCTCAGATGTTGCTCAAGGAAATGGAAGGCGGGAAGAAGAGGAGGAAGAAGAAGAAGAGGAGATGACCCAGGAGAGGCTGCAGAGTCTGCTGGAGGATATAAAGCTGGAGGGAGGCTTGGAGGACGAGGAGATGACAGAGGAGAGGGTGAATGCCATCCTCGAACAAGTACGGCAAGCAGAAAAAGTCATGTGTTCAGTTCCAGGTTGGAGAGGCGAGATGTCCGACACGATCGCAGAGTCATCACTGCACGGCACCGAGGAGGGCAGGTAGGATTTGCTTTTATTCTACCATTTGCCCCCAGTATTTACACACCAGTGTTTACAGTGAGACCCGCAGCAGTTTTGTGATGGCAGCGCCTCCCTATGTTTTACTCCCCCCAGCCCTGAAAGTCTAGCTGATTCGATGGAGCAGCCCCAGGCTCAGGCTGACAGACAGAATGGAGGTCAAACTGACGCAGCCAGGGAAGGGAAGGAAAAGGAGGCCAAGAAGAAGGGATCTCAGGAAGACAGCAGCACAGCGGGACCAAGCAGAGGACGGGAGGAGGGAGGCGACAGGTCCCAGCACAAAGTCCAGGTGAGAATCATTCCTCCAGGTGGAGTCTGTTTTACCTTTTTCTGTTTTTGGTGACGTCTGTAGGCTTTGAAAAAGATCTATTTTGTCTTAATTTAAGGCCTCAAATATATCTTTGTTCTCTTATACACAGACTGTCAAGGATTAAATTCTGGTTTAGTCGGCTTAAAATATTTAGGACTTGAAGCACAGCCCAGAAATATGAACCTGCACTCCAGTTTCTTTTGATCATATTCATTCAGTGGCAAAATTTGTATTTAAAAAAAAAAAAGTATTAAACTGACACACGTACACACTCACAAACACACTGGGGTCATTAATGTTGCACTGCTACTGCGCTGCCTTCGTCAGGGGCGTGTCAGAGCTGAAGAATCCGGCTCTGACGAGGAGACCACTGTCACCACCAGGGTGTACCGCAGACGGGTCATACTGAAGGTGTGTGAGACCTGGTGTGTGTGAGAGCTGCAGGCAGTGTGCAGTGAAGTGGCATTTAAGCTCTGTGACTCTGTGCAAGTGTGTGAAGAAGAATGAGGCACAGAGATGAACAGAAAGATGGAACAAACACCTTGCCGTGCCAGAATTTGTGTGTTTGACAGAATTTGTGTTTTTTACAGAGAGAAAGTTTGAGAGTATGTTTCTGTGCATATTTGTTAACATGGGAGTGTGTTTGTGTGCAGCTGTAGTGTTTGAAAGAGTCAGACGGTGTGACAGAAAGAGAACCTATCACAGAGCGGGTTTTTACATCCAACTGTTATGAGAATTTTCAATTTGCACATTAAAAAAACACAGAAAATTAAACAAAGTCAAAATATCACAAAATGCTTTTAATGCTTGGCTGATGTGGAGAAGTTCGCATGATATAGTGAATAAATTATGGTACATGAAGCACTGTAACTGCCTCAGTTCCGTACATGAAACAAACAGAATGCCATATTTCCACGTGGTTTCTGACCTAGTTTTCTTCTTCTGTGGTGATTTTATGGCACCCAAGTGGAGAATAAGCACCAACTATTTATCTTGATTACAAAATATTCACATAACAGTAGTGGATATAAACACACATCAATTCACATTTTCTTTTGCCAGTCTTCCAAGAATTTGGTCAAAAACTTCAACAAGTGGATGGAAACCCGACTATAGTTGCGTAGGGGAGTGTGTGTGTTTGTGAGTGAGAGAGGGACAGTGAGTGTGTGTGGATGTTTAGCCCTGCTGTAGCATGAAGTGCTACTCACTGCTTGTTGGTGTGAGCCACTACATTACCTGCCGTGCTGTTTGGTATTTGGCGTTGGTCCCTGGCTGGTGGAGAATCGGTTGTGCTGCTGTAAACAGTATTTTTCCGTTTTTGAGCATAATTCTGAGGCTGCATTTCCACAGGAGCGGAAAATCTGCAAAGTATGTTCAAATCACACTTTAGGTGGTTCTAGTTATTAAAGGATTTATTGTTTTATTCCCTCAGCAGCTGATTTGTCCGTGTGTCCTTATCACAAACTCCTACAGAAAGACACTGAACCAACTAAATGTTTTCTCATACTCATACTTTTGTGTATTAAAAACAGCACAGCTACAACTATTACTTTCATTATCGATTCATCTGACAATTATTTTCTCGATTGATTGATTAATCACTTGTTAGAATGTGGTGAAAAATACCCACCCCGCTTTCACAAAGTGGCCAAAGTGATGTCTTATAGTCAACTTATAATAATAATAATATAATAACAATAAAAAAGAAGAGAAAGAGAAAATCGGCAAATATTTACATGATAGTATCTGGAACCAGAGAATTGCAGATGCTCTGTCCCTATGTAAATGCAGCCTCATTTCTGAGCTGACAGTATGATACATTTGTACGGTCTTCAGTGTTGTTGAATGAGGTGTTACCAAATTCTTTCTTGTGCATGACACAGGTTTGAAAATCATAATCATGGCAGAGTTTGATTAAGTTTGCTGTGGAAAGTTTGAAGCTTTTTTTGTTGATGTAATAGATTTTTTTTTTTTTCTTCTTTTAAGTTGTCGGAATCTGCCAAGAAACATCTGTTGACCTGATGATAAAATAGTTTCCATCACTGTAGAGTAATTGCCTGTCTCTGATACTGCAGGCTTGTATTTTGAAGTTGCCGAACCGTATTAACTTGTCGAGTCAGCCTTCGTAATGTACTAGCATCAGCTGAGTTTTCTCAGAACTCTTAGTCTGCTAAAATGCTAAATATTTGCTCTATTAAAAAAAAGAAAACAAACAGCATAAACATTTCACAGCTTCCTCAGACGTCCTGTTTCTTCACTGATTAGCTGATCAGTGAGGAAAAGACTGTTTAGTTTTAGGATATTGTTTTCTCTGACTGAGAATTTGTAACAATCAAACTGCACTTTAAAAAAGACTTGAACTCGCTTAGTCTTCATTAACATCAATGCTGGTTTTGCAGAATTTCTGTAGTGCACTTTAGTCTTGGTTTTAACAGAGAGAAATGCAGCGGCGGTTGCAGGGAGGCTGACGTCTGTTTAGGATTGTTCCTGTATTTTCTTAATAACTATTTTACCCATAACTTCATAACACATAATCCCTCCCCTTCACCTCTCCCATCCCTGCGGTGTTTTTTTTGTTTTTTTTATGTAACCCTTCACCCCAGGGAGAGGAGGCCAAAAACATTCCTGGAGAGTCTGTGACGGAGGAGCAGTTCACAGATGAAGACGGGAATCTGGTCACCAGAAAAGTAATCGTCCTCACCCTCAACCATCACCTGTCGCATCCTTATCCCACAGCTTACACACACACACACATACCCAGTAACATTTGTTAGCTAAAACCACCACACAGGCTGTACACATGCTGTCTCATACACCTACACCTACACACACACACCTATACACACACACACCCACCAAGTACCCTCCTCACCCTTCTTTCCATTATTTCTTCTCACAAAATGCTTTTCCTGCTTCCTTCCTCCTCCTCCTTTCTCCCCCTGACATGCTTCTGCCCCTACAGGTGATCAGGAAGGTGGTGCGCCGTGTGTTCAACTCTGAGGAGAGGAGGGAAAGTGAAAGCGAAACTGTTACAGAAGAAGGAGCTGGTGGTGGTGGTGGTGGTGGTGGGGTAGCAGATGCTCCTTCAGCAGGAGCAGCAGCAGCAGCAGCAGCAGCAGGAGGAGGAGGAGCCTCAGGGGGGAAGGGCAAGAGGAGAGGGAAGCGCTCCCGACAGGGCCACAAGGCTGAGAAGTCTGGAGAGGAGGCCCAGAGAGGGAAAAATGAGGTTGGCGTTAGAAGCAATCTAACGTAGTCAGACGAGCCGTCCTGGCCAGCTGACACCTGCATGAAGCTGTAGTTGTATGTAAACACACAGTGGAATCACTCAGCGTAATGTAAAAGGATCAGTCATAGTCAAACCCTTACAGGATTTAACACACAACTCTGCAGCTCTGCACAGCTTTTAGCATCTTTTAGCTCACTGCTTTGGTTTTAGAGACAGACCTGCAGAGTTTAAACTTCCTGCCTGGCATACAACTGCAAAGAAGCAGAGTAAACTAGAGGCTGGTGGAGAAACTAAAAACACATATACATGTGTATCTTTTCTCTTGTATTGTCAGAGTTTGGTGACCAGCTTTGGGAATTTTATTCCAAATCAAGGCCCATTAGTTAAAATATTCTCTGAGTTTATCTTTGTCTGTAGAGCTCTTTGGATACAGGGTTAACCATAGTGAAATACACCACAGCTGCAGCTACAGGCTAGAAATCATGCTCTGGAGTAATGCTGAGATCGGGCTACAGGGTTTTTTTTTTCCTGTGAGCCTACGACTTGAAGCCTGACCAGTCATACATGTTGGGCAAAGGTGATCAGTGAGGAGGCGCAAGAGACTTCCAGGATCAAAACTGAAACGTCAACAGCCATGGCATCAATATTAAATTGGGCAAGAGAAGGCGAAATCATTCTGACATCCACAATTATAGATCTTTTTCCATCCACCTGTTTTTATTCACATTTTCAATTTGCATGTAAATCATGACAGTAGAAACTCTTTTAAACTTTTTACACTTGGTTGAGGTGGAAAAGTTTGTTGATTGATAAAAAGACAACGTGACAATGTGTGATGGAAACAGACGTAGCAAATAAATAATGACGCATTATATGAAGCATGTGACTAAAATCTCCGCTGAAGAGACAAAGACATCAGATATGTTCTTCAAATGAATGTATGAAACAAACAGATAAGACGTATTTCCATCACAGTTTCCACATTGTTTTCATTCATTTACGGTTTCGACTGGCGCTCCTTTAATCACGTCAGTGATAATGCGTTAACCGTACCCGACAGAGAATTAGTTCCGCCGGCTGTTTATCTCAATGCACCGACTTCTAATATTCACATAACAGTGGTTGAAAATGAAAATTAATTCTCATTTAATTTAATTTTTTTTTTTTTAAATTTGAGCTACATTTGGGAGGAAACGGACTGTAGGCAATATTAATATTATGTTGTGACAAATCATTTTCATAGCATCACACTGGCTCACATTGTGTGGCCTGATCTCAGCGTTACTCTGAGCTGCTGTGATGCTTGTGTGATTAAAAGGATTGCAGTTTGTGAAGTGCTGTGTAATAGAGAGCAGCAGCGTCAATACAGAGGCCTGACTGACTGTATAGGCGTTTTATGGTTTGCAGTGGTTGTATTGTGCTGTGTGTTTCCTCTGCACTCCAGTGCATCAGTAGCACTTAGTGTTACAGCACCAACCATCAGGCTTTTACAGCTCATTGATTGAGCTTGAGAACAACTAATATCACAAGTGTTTCAACTAATATAGAAATAATAAATAATTCCTCTTCTTTGTCTCTTTTAACATGTAATGATGCAGCACGTGTGATTCTGTTTGCAAATGTATGAAAGTAGTAATTTTAACATCTTTTTTCCTCCTTCCTCCTTAAACTCGTCAGTCTTGCAGCATGCTGCCTGTGATCTACCGACGAACAGTAGCTGAGCTCAACTCTGCTTCATTAACCCACATGGGTCAGATTAAGCCTGACCACCACACTAACATTTCTTTTTACTTCTTTCTGTTTCCCTCACCCTTTCTCTCTCTCAAGCCTGGAGACGGCGCCAACAAGAAACAAGGGAAGAGGAGTCAGTCATAACATTAGAGCTCTCAACTGAACCTGGTAAGGAGCCATTAACATTATGACTGATATATGATCTGTAAAGTCAAAAATCTGCTCAAAAATGATCTTAATGAAAATGTAAAATATATTTTCTACGTAGTGCTTTTAGTGATAGTTGACATTTGGGGAAGTGTAATTGTTTTCTTGCTGAGAGTTTGATGGGAGGATTAATAACACTCTCGTGTCTGCTGACTAAATATGAACCTATAGTGCAGCAGATAAGCTTGTATATGGAAGGTATTGTGCATTTCATGACTAAAGCATGAAACTCTCTCCAGTGTTTCTATAAACCATGAAGTTTAAACTTCATGGTTATCTGCTGCACTATAGGTTCATATTTAGTCAGCAGACACGAGAGTGTTATTAATCCTCCCATCAAACTCTCAGCAAGAAAACAATTACACTGCCCCAAATATATACATATATATTTAAACCAAACTAGCATGCTAGCTTCTGAGTAGAATGTTAGCTATTATTCTAGCTACTCATGTGATTCCATAGAACACACTGCAGAAGTTGTCAGTGTTTTTAATAAGCTATAGCTACCTGGAATACCTGGAAATGGTGGGGTCTGCAGCCCCCCTGCAAAATTGGTCCTCTAAGCAAAACATTATGCCTTTCTATACTGTGATGTTTTTATGCCTTACTAGTATGTTTTTTTTACGCCCTTACTATACTGTCGTTTTTTATGCCTTGCTATACTATGACGGTTTTGATTTACTGTACTGTTTCGTTTTTATGACTTAGTATACTGTGACGTTTTCTTAAGCCTTACTATACTATGACATTTATGACTTACTTTACAATAACGTTTTGGTCTTACTATACTATGACGTTTTAGACTTATGACATTTCTATGACTTACTATACTGTTGTTTTTTTATACCTTGCTATACTATGTCCTTTTTAATGACTTACTATACAATGATTTTTTTTGCCTGTTTTAAATGACATAAAACGTTAAAGTTATAGTTTCTACAGCTCAGGATGATGTCTTCAAATTGCTTGTTTTGTTCGACTAACAGTCCAAAACCTGAAGAAGACTAAAATTATCTTCAGTTTTTCAACTAAAAAGCAGCAAATCCTCACATTTGAGAAACTGGAACCAGATGTTTTTTCTTGAGAAATTAATGTAATGATCTTTGACCAACCAGCCAAATAATCAGTTTCAGAACTATTGCATCAGCTGAATATTTATAACATTAGTTTCTGATCTTTTCACCCTCCAGGTCCACCTGCGACACCACACACACCCTGGGAGGAAAAACGGACTGGAGCCCCTGAAAACGAAGAAGCCTCGTCAATCAAGCCGAAACGTGTCTGAAGCTTTCACTTTAACAACGCATGTTTTTCAGCAAGACGACGCAACAAGTTACTTTTCTTTGATTTCGCATGAGCATGTCACCAAAACTCACTCACTGTCGGAAACAACACGGAGGGGCACGGAGGGACACGCATGGACGTGAGAGCTGGAACTGTCTTTAGACGGATGGAAGGCGTCTGCGACCAAAGACAAGACGCAAATATGGAATTAAACAAAAAAAAGCAAAAAAAAACAAAACAAAAAAAAAGCAAACTGCTGACAGAAAAGGAAGACTTGTGATTCAATCTCTCTCAGACACTCGCCTTATATGGTCTATTTTTTCCTCCTGGACCCACAGTACTGGGCTTGTACCATGTGGTTCTTTTTTAAAAAATGAAATATAATAGTAAAAGGGTGATTTTTTTTGTTGTATATAAATGACATTGTATAAAAATCTTTAAAAAAAAAAATCAGTAGCTTCACAGATTGTTTATGCACTGATTTTAAGTTGATGAAGCTTTGCAGAGTCGGTGCATTTGTATTGAGAGGTCGACACTGTTTGAGCAGCCTTGAGTGTGTGACCTGACATGCTCTTCCTTACTGAATATAAAGAGGAACAAAACAGCTGTATGTAAATGAGACGTGAATGGAGATTTAAAAAAAAAACAACAACTGCTTGATTTTAAACAAAGGACGTTTCTTTAAAGCCAACAGCTACTTCCGCTCCGTCTGTGGAACATTGTCTTCAGAGAAATGATATTTTGCTGCATGTAACGTCACTTTATTTTAACGCTTTTCTTTTTGTTTCTCCTAATTCAAAAGCACTGTAACACAATTAGAGAGGGTCTGATGGTACTTTTGTCTGTGTGAGCACTCAAAATAACACCAAACATCTGTTGTCTATTACTGTTTTTATTTTTTTTTCTACAGAACACACACTCCACACTCAAGTGGCAAGATTCATTCTTATGCTTCAGGGCGGTAATGAGTGTCCCTGAATGTAACCTGCCGACTGGCACATTGCATTAACTCCAAACTGCTAGCAGCCCCCCCCGCCCCATATGTGTGTGTACGCGCGTGTGTGTGTGTAACATCAAATAAAACCTGTCTATCTGTACACCCATCGGGCATACTACAAGTGTAAGATATGGCTTTTAGGTCTGCTGTGGTTTTACAAAGGGGACTGCTTTTATTTTGACGGTTTGATTATTTTTATCTTTATTTAATTGGTTGTAATTACATTAGAACAGAGGATCTAATTTTTAGCCCCTGTCACCCAAATCTGGTCGTTTTTATCAATGGGTAAGAATAAAAAAATCACAACAATGAATCACAGAATTGATCACACATTAAAAATCAGATGTTCTGTTCCTGTGTAAATCTGTTTTTTTTTCTCATTTGTCTTTTTTCATACAAAACCACCCTAAGCATCCATTGTTGATAATAAATCTGGTACCAAAATGTATGACGAACCAACATAGCCTACACTGGATGATCCAAGTAATTATTTAAGCAGAAAAATAAATTGTGTTTAAACTGAAAGTCTGTGAGTCAGTCTGGTGTTTTACACGTTTGTGGTTACAACCAGGACAAAACATGATTTACTATACAATGACTTTTTATGACTTACTATACTATGTCGTTTTCATGAATTCCTATACTATGACGTTTTTGACTTCCTATACTATGACGTTTTAGACTTATGTTTTTATGCCTTACTATACTGTCATTTTTGACTTACTATACAATGTTGTTTTTATGACTCATTATCCTGACATTTTTTATGAATTACTATACTATGACGATTTCATGCCTTACGATACCATGACGTTTTTTATGCCCTACTATACTATGACGTTTTTGACTTACTATACTATGACGTTTTTATGCATTATTATACTGTGACGTTTTTGACTTATGATGTTTTTATGCCTTACTGTACTATGTCGTTTTTATGATGTTTTTTATGCCTTACTAGACTATGACATTTACATACTATGACGTTTTTATGCATTATTATACTATGTCGTTTTCATGACTCACTATCCTATGACATTTAGGTATTACTATACTATGATGTTTTTATGCCTTACTATACTGTTATTATGACTTACTATATGATGACTTTTCTATGCCTTACTATACCATGACGTTTTTATGACTTACTATACTATGACGTTTATGCCTTACTATACTATGACATTTTTATGACTCACTGTCCTATGACATTTTTTATGAATTACTATACTATGACGATTTCATGCCTTACGATACCATGACGTTTTTTATGCATACTATACTATGACTTTTCTATGCTGTACTACACCATGACATTTTTATAACTTACTATACTATGCCCCTTTTATGCCTCACTATACTATTATGTTTTTTATGACTTACTCTACTATCATGTTTTTTATGAATTACTGTACTATGATGTTTTTATGCCTTACTATACTGTTGTTATGACTTACTATACGATGACTTTTCTATGCCTTACTATACCATGACGTTTTTATGACTTACTATACTATGACGTTTATGACTTACTATACTATGACATTTTTATGACTTACTATACTATGACGTTTATGACTTACTATACTATGACGTTTATGCCTTACTATACTATGACATTTTTATGACTTACTATACTATGATGTTTTTGACTTACTATGCTATGTCGTTTTTATGACTCACTGTCCTAGACATTTTTTATGAATTACTATACGATGACTATTTCATGCCTTACGATACCATGACGTTTTTTATGCCTTACTATACTATGACTTTTCTATGCTGTACTACACCATGACATTTTTATAACTTACTATACTATGCCCCTTTTATGCCTCACTATACTATTATGTTTTTTATGACTTACTCTACTATCATGTTTTTTATGAATTACTGTACTATGATGTTTTTATGCCTTACTATACAATGACTTTTTTATGCCTGTTTTAAATGACATAAAATGTTAAAGTTATAGTTTATACAGCTCAAGATGATTGCTTGTTTTGTCTGACTAACAGTCCAAAACCTGAAGATACTAAAATTATCTTCAGCTTTTCAACTAAAAAGCAGCAAATCCTCACATTTGAGAAGCTGGAACACAGAATATTTTCCGCACTTTTGCTTGGAAAATGAATGTAATGATTGTTGACCAACCAGTCAAATAATAAGTTTCAGCACTATTGTATCAGCTTAATATTTGTAACATTAGTGTATGATCTTTTCACCCTCCAGGTCCACGGACGTCAACCTGCGACACTACACACACACACACACCCTGGGAGGAAAAAAGGACTGGAGTGACCGACTTGTCATGAGTTAGTCTGGTGTTTACCAGGACAAAATTCATCTTTGTCAAATCTATGGCAGAGTTTTTAAGTCGAAACAAGTTTGATAAATAGATTTTCTTCATAAAGTGAAGACCCGATTTTTAGTTTTATCATTTACTTAAGGCCCAAATCTAACTTTTACCACTTTTGGATAAGTATGGGGCTCCTGTCAGTTAAATTCTGCTTCATGTGGGGGTCCTCGACAAGTCAGAGGTTTGTACTTTTGTTGTGCTGAAGCATTTAGTCAATTACTCAATGAACAGAAAATTGCAAAGTCATTTATGCAAAATGACAATGCTAACATGCTAATAGTTACCAGGTAGGGGTAAACTGGTTTGCATCTAAATGAATTAAATTAATGCCTCATGACTTAGATAAACAGTTCATTTACATCTGAAGAGAGGCACTGTCCTCAGATTGAATCTAATAAAATTCATATTAAACAGTCAATGACAAAAAGACAGATTTCCTGAATTTATTTATGAATTTAAATAATATACTGTCGCACCATTTTATGTAAAATAAAAGTACAATAAAAATTGTGACATTATACAAAGCTGTTTTGTACATTTTTCCTTTTTATAAGTAGAAGAAATGAAAAAAAAAATACAATGCCTTAAAAAGAAATATTTCAAAAATTTATACATGTAATTTTGTGTAACATCGCTCCTCAGACAGTTGTTCAATAAAATTATTATAGTAAATGATCAGACAAAGACAAGCATATGGTACAAGCATATGGACATGACCAGTAATATTTGATATGATAAATGTACATATATCATTAAATACAACATCTTAGGCAAAATTTGTGTGCGAATCACCGCCTAATTATTTATGATGTGATGTATTTACAGCACAAGGAATGTGATTAAGGAGATGATCTATAAACAGCAGATTTTGGTTTGAGCTAAAGCTTCTTCACAGACTAAACATTTGCAAAGTAAATCACACAAAATAAACTGAACATCAGTTAAGACTGGTTATATATGAACTAAAGTTTAAACACATACCATTGTGCGTTTTGGCTTTAAATTAATCAACATCTTGCTAAGATCAGATTGATTAGTTCAATTTTTCATTTTACAGTGGCAAGAAAAAGTAAGAGAATCCTTTGGAATTACCTCCATTTATTTTGTCCTTAAATATGGTCAGATTTTCATCCAAATTAAAATTATTTTTTAAGAAAAATTTATTTTTTTTAACTAATAACACACATCTCATTGTTTTGTTTTTGTGCATATTGAAAATATCATTCAAATAATTACAGTGTAGGTTGGAAAAAGTACGTGAAGAGCTTGTCTATTGGCATCAACAAAAGCTAACTGGAGTCAGGAGTTATCCAACCTGGAGTCCAATCAATGAAACCAGATTGGAGGTGTGGGTTAGAGACTCTTTGACTTTAAAAAAATCTCAACATTTGGAGTTTGCTGTTCACAATAAACATCCACTGATGTGAACCATGCCTCACAAAAAAGAGATCTCAGAAGACTTATGATCAAGAATTGTTGATTAGTATTAAGCTGAGTAGGTCAGAGTCACCTCAAAGAGTTTAGATCTTCCTCAGTCTACCGTCAGACAAACTGTCTGTAAATGGAGATGATTCAGTTCTGTGGCTACTCTCTCTAGAAGTGGACGTCTGAGATGACTCCAAAAGCTCAACACAGACGCTCAAGGTTGTAAAGGTTGTGGTGTAAAGGGCACTGCATACTACATCCCAACCTCAGCATCCCAAAGGTGAAGCAGGGTGGAGGAAGCATCATGGCTTGGGGGTGATTTGCTGCCTTTGGTCCTTGATAGCTCAACATTATTGAGCAGAAAATTCATTCTCAAGTTTATAAAGGAATCATATAGGATAATATCAGGGTGTCTGTCCACCTGCTGAAGCTCAGTAGAAAACTGGGTGATGCTACAGGACGGTGACCCTAAACTTCAAAGTAAATCTATTACAGCATGACTTCAGACGAAGAAAATCCACCGTCTGGATTATGGTCCAGTCAGAGCCCTGGACCATAATCCAGTAGAGATGCTGTGGAATGACCTGCAGTGAAACGTACAAACCAGACATCCTGAGAATATGTCTGAGCTGAAACAGCTCTTTAAAAAGGATCCAAAGTTCATCCTGAACAGTGAGCGGGTCTGATCAGCAAATACTGAAAGCTCCCGTTTGAGGTTATCAAACCAAATGAAGTTCTACCAGTTTTTAAATCCAAAGGTTCACTTACATTTTCTACCAGCACTGTGAATTTTTAATGGCTGTATTCAATAAATACACAAAAGATTATAATTGTTTGTGTGATATTAGTTTGGGAACACTGTGTTTGTCTACAGTTGTGACTGAGACGAAGATCAGATCACATTTTATGACATATCAGTGCAGAAAACCAGGTAATTCCAAAGGGTTCACATACTTTTTCTTGCCACTGTATATCTTTAAAAAGATTCCCTTAATCTTTCTTTGAATATATAAATTTACTTTTTATTAATGTTGTACAGAGTTGCCACTCTCTATTATTATTAATTATTTTATTATATTTAACACTTACAAAGCTACAATTGCTACAACTTTTTACATTTCAGATATTGTTTCATGGCTATATTATTGATTTTTGAAACCCTGCCCATTATACAATAATTTAACCGTTATTTTTATATAATTCAATAATTTAACCAACATTTTGTGAAAAGAAGATTCAGAAAATGTTGCACTGAGGGTGCTGAAAACTAGGATATAGTTGAATCTGATGCCACTGGCAAAGATTTACAAGCAGAGAGCATCAATACAGGCTTTTACAAAGCACCCCACATGAGGACGAAGCTAACACCTGAACCAGTATTCTGCCTAAAAGTGGATTAAAATCACCAGGATTATAAACATTTCTGATCTTTTAGAGTTTAGCAAGTGTGCCAAAAGTCTTAAGAAGGCACAAGGTACACAGACTTCTTCAAGTTGTGTGGTTCATGTGATACAGTAAAGTCTTCGTTAATATAGTATAAAGTGTAATACAGATCATATAGTTAGTCACAGCAGAACATATTATTGTAATTTTTTAAAATAAATAATAGCGTTTCTAAACTTTTTACCAAATCAAGAGACCATGTGTATAAAATGCTCATCAATCCAGCCTTTGTTCAGCACTTTCCTTTTGAGGTGTAAAATGTTGTTCTTATTTAAAAAGGAATAGTTCAACATCTAGGTAAATATATTAATTTGCTTTCTTTCCAGCAGTTGTGCAAACAAGACAGAGCCAGGCTAGTTGTTTCCCCCTGTCTTTATGCTGAGCTAACATATACACATCCTCACCCCAGTTCCATATTTAACACACAGACACAAGATTAAGATTTTGACTACAACAAACAATTATTTTCATTATCGAGTAATTAGCAGTTTTGTTTATAAAATATAAACATATATTTCATGGCAGCAAATATGATTATTTTCATAATTGACTGATCTATCCCTTGTTTTCTTGATTAATTGGTTTGTCTAAAACATCAGAGAATTGTGAAAAATACATGTAAATCCCAGTGAAAATTTTATTGGCGATGAAAGCGACGTTATCAAATGTCTTGTTTTGTTTGACCAACAGCCCTACAACCCAAAGATACTCAGTTTGCTATACTGCAAGACAAGAGAAACAAATGCTGCACTTTGAGTGGTTTAAACAGTCAAATCTCCTCAAATATTTTTACTTGAAAAATGACTTGAAGGATAATTTGATTATCAAAAGTTGGCAGATTCATTTTCTAATAGAATCTAGTCTAGTCTAATTTCAAGGACCACAAAAAAACAAGATTGAGAGAATAACAGCAGTAAATGTACCAATAAATACACCATAACCTGTGTCAGAAAATTTTGAAAAAAGCATTTTTTCCCCTGTAACTTGGTATCTTCAAATGTCTTGTTTTGTCAGATCAACAGCACAAAACCCCCAAATTATCAATTTCCTAGAAAAACTAACTCCTCACAAATGATTAATCTACCATCAAAATGTTGCATTGTTTCAGCTCAGAAAGAGAGCAAATAGGTGCATCTTATACATTTTAGAAACTGTTCCTTTATCAACAGACATAATCAATCTGAGCATTAAAGACTTGTCAGCTGTGTGGACTCGTCCCCGTGAGTCTGAACGTGTTTTTTCAGATCCTCTGTCCTCAGGAACCCTTTGCCGCAGACTCTGCAGCGGTGCGTTTGCTCCCCTTCATGGACGCCCATGTGTTTGGTGAGCGAGCTGCTCGCTGTGAAGCTTTTCCCGCAGACGTTGCACAGATACGGCTTCTCTCCTGTGTGGGACCTCATGTGGATTTTCAGCGCACCGCTCTTGTAGAACTTCTTGTCACAGACATTGCACCGGTGAGTGGACTCACCCGTGTGGATCATCATGTGCGTTTTCAGAGTCCCCCTCTGTCTGAAACCTTTCCCGCAGACGCTACACAGGAACGGCTTCTCACCGGTGTGGATTCTCATGTGAGCCATCATGTACTCCTTGAAGCTGAAGCTCTGACCGCACACGCTGCAAACATAGGGCCTCTCCCCTGTGTGAACTCTCATGTGTCCCATCAGGTTTCCGTTTTGGGCGAAGGCCTTGCCACAGACGCTGCAGATGTATGGTTTCTCCCCAGTGTGGGTTCTCATGTGCATCTCCAGTTGTTTATGGCCGTCAAAATGTTTGCCACAAACTTCGCAGTCATTCGTTCTGATGTAAGTTTGCAAGTGAAGCCTCAAGCTCTCCTCAGACTCAAAATGTTTCCCACAGACACCACAAAGATCCGTGTCCCTCTCGTCTTCTTGCACATGCTTCAAAAACGAGGCTCTGTAGCAGAAAGACCTGCCGCAGACTTTACAGCTGTATTTCAGATGAGATAAATCCTTACAGTCCTTGTTCTTAGGTCCCTTAGGTTTGTTTGATGTGTGAATTTTTGTTTTTCCTTCTCTGGTCTCATCTTTATCGCTGTCTCCGTTATCACTGTCACTTCCTTCGCTCTCCTTCCAGTCCTCGTCACTGTCGCCCACTTTACTCTCAGCGTCAGAGCACTCTGCCTTTGACTCTTTGTCCTCCGTTTCATCCCTGCAGCTGTTTTCCTCGTTGTGGGTTTGTATATGCAGCTTTAGACTCTCATCAGAGCCCAAATGTTTTCCACAGACTCCACACAGATCTGTGCTTTGCTCATGCTTCAGTACATGTTTCAGAAAAGAGCGTTTGTACCGGAAAAACTTTCCGCAGACTCTGCAGCAGCTCTGACCAATAGTAGTTTGGCTCTTCTCTGTTGCAGTGACTTTCCCTGTATGTTTTTTCTCTTTCTTCCCAGCAGCACCTTCGTGAAAACACCTCCCACACATTTTGCAACTATCTGCGCCCTGACTTTGTCTCTGAAATGTGCTTCTTCTGTTTGATTTAAGAAGTTTCTCATTGAGCTCTTCATCACTGTCATTATTTTCACTCCCCACCTCTGAATCTTTAGATGACAGAACCTCATGGTCACCAGGTGGCAGCACACAGAGCTCTCCTCGAGTCTCTGCGCCCATCACAGTTTCGGTGCCCTTCTCTGCCCTTTGTGTTTGGTTATGTTGTGAGGCCTTACCGTGGATAAACTCACAGTCTGTCTCCGTAGCTGCATCTTTAAACTGTGGAGGACCTGATGTTTTCTTGACTCGGCTGGAAATGTCTGTCCCAGAGAGTGCCAGTCTGTCTGAAGGGAGGATGGAAGAGAAAATTCAGCATGGAAATACTGTGAAAGACAATAAATACCAGCATCCAAGGCCATGATAGTATCGCCTATAAAAGTGTATGTGTGCATGAGCAACAAAATAAGGCCTTAAATCTGCAATCACCTCAAGTCAAATTAACTAAATTACACACTAACACTCATGGCTCAAAGCTGTTCACAAATGTTTGCAAGAAATTCTAGCAAATGACGAATGACTGAAATAAAATAAATATATTTTCACATAATGCAGAAATGCAATATAGATACGATTTGATGTACACTGCACCTGTTGTATGTAAGTTTGTCTCAGTTTTCAGTGTGATGTCCAGCAGCTGTCGTTGTCGGCCGATGTCATCATGGGAATGGGAGACATCTGCCTCATATTCACTCATCATCATCTCCAGGATCCTAAAGATCTCATCAGCAACAGCAGACAGCTGCTTCTGTACGATTGCCCTCTGCTGCTCAGGCGACATTTCTGTAGGAAACACAAATATACAAATAAAAATATAGCAAACAAATGTCCATTCACTTGCACTGTTTGCTTTTGTCCACCCTGCATTAAGGTATACTAAACAGAATTCCCAGCTCCAAAAAATGTAGCCTCAAAATCATAATACAAACTGAACGTAATAACCTTCATGAAGCAGGATCTACCGCAGGACTGTTGTGTTAGACTGCATTTGTTTTTTAAGTGTACTTCCCCATTGTCTTAATGGATTTTTTTTATCTGATTTGCAAGAACTAACTCTTTAATACCAGGAGATGGAATACAGAAATCTGAGTAATTTCCTGACAGCTGTTACAGTTAGCCAGCACTCAGGCAATTTAGACTGGTTATTTTATTTTCCTTCTGGTGATATGTGGAAGAAACGGAAAACAACCTCAAGAAATATAAGCCAACCACAAAGAGATGCTAAATGATGAAAAAGAGAGACAAAACAACCACAAACACACACAATCTATGCCGAAGGGCCCATTGTCTCCTGATCTGTCTATATCTAGGCCCAAAGAAGCAACAGAAAAGTGATGGAGGGATTGACCCCTTAAAATATAACAGACTAAAATCTACATTTTGGGTCGTTGAGATTTGTACTGTCCCATGACAGACAAAAGATATAACAAATGAGACTAGAGCTGCAACGATTTAGTTGATTAATAGATTAGTCAACTGACAGAAAAAGTTTTCGCAACTATTATGACAACTGATTCATCTTTTCAGGACAAGTCCAACTCTAGGGTTTCAGCTTCTCAAATATGAATACTGTCTGGTTTTATTGTCTTCTATGACAGTAAACTTAACATGACAACATGACATGCACTGGGTTGGACATTTTTTAAATTTTCTGACATTCTATTGAACAAACAATTAAACAAAAAATACCTTCTAAAGCCTTTTTAAGGGCAGTGGATTCAAGACTTTTAACCCTGTTATATGAAAAGTGTTCTGCTCTCGGAAGTAAGAAGTTGACTTACTAAAATATTTCCCCTCTTAATAAAAAGTCTGTTGTGTTACAAACCTGCCGCGTGCAGCATCTTCCTCTCGACAACATTCAAAATCTCCTCCGCAGCGGAGTTCAGTCTCTCGGCGACTAGCGCCCTCAACACCTGCACTCTGGACATGATGCACCGACCGGCTCTGCCCCCTCAGCCTGTGGGCATTTCGCGGCTTCAGCTGCTCCCACGCAGTCACTTTAATATACACAACATAACCACAACGCAACACATTACCAGCTCAGGTACAGAGCAGTCATACTACTTCCGCCAGCGCGTCTTCTTCTTCTCTTCTTGTAAACTTCACGGTGGGCAGAGCTACAGCGCCCCGTCTGTTCTCAGCCCTGAGAGACCTCCCACATGAAATACAGAAAATCATACATTTGTGAAATTCAGGTGTTTACTGAACCTTTTGACTGAATAAAAAATAAAAAAATATAAAACGGAATTGTAGGGTTTTAAGGTAATTTATTCATCTCCGTAGTTTTTCTTTTTTTAGGTTTTCTTTTTTAGAGGTGGGTGTGGCAAAGGGTTGTCAGTACCTGGGCTCATCAGCAGACCTGGCACACCTGGGCTCTGTGTGCTAGTGCGGGGTACTGCCGTGCGGCCTGGTTTGTGACAAGAGGAGTAAAAGTTTTATTTTCATTATTGATTAATCTGCAGATTATAATCATTATTACAGTGAATCCAAGATGATGTCTCCATTGTATTGTTTTGTCTGACCAACAGTACAAAACCCAAAGATAATCAGTTTACTATGATACATGAAAAAGAAAGCATTAAATCCTGACATTTGAGAAACTGAAACAGCATTTCTGCATTTGACTAAAATGTTTATCTGATTAAAATTGTTTCTTATTAATTTTCTGTTGATTGGCTAATTGATTAATCAGCTCATTTTTGCAGTTCTAAAAAGGTTAACCACCTACAAAACAGTTCAAATCTGCCAGATAAATGGGCTGTATACTCTTGTTCTGCAGGACCAGCAGTTTGACTGTGAACAAAGAGTTCTGTTTTGGTTTTTGTTTTCATTCAAGTAATGTGTCCAAATTCAAACACAACTGCTTGTTATTGAAGAATGGGATCAGCTTTGTCAGTTATAAGTTGAATGAAATATAAATGTTTTAAATTGCTCTTCATATCATGTTCTTAGAAAGGGATTATTCAATAAAAGAAAAAACAACAACTTTCTGTTGGAAGCTGGATGCTGAGATTATGAAACAACAACACGTTTTCTCTGTCAATCAAGAAAAAAGCTTCTATTAATGCCTGAAAACTTCAATATTTACATATTTCTCATCTTCACAAATTGTTTATCCGTATCACATTATTTTCAAACCTGTCTATCAAAAAGCTTTTCCGTGTAACTTGACATGGGAAGTCTTTGTCAGCATCAAAGGTCATGTCGCTTCATGAAAACATCATCACTTTTTTGGGTGTTAAACTAACAGCAGTGACACACATACGTTTTTTCAAGGTGGTTGTCATGTGTGCATTCTGTGAAAGCAAAAATGGACAAATATTGAATGTTAAGCTTACACTGTTGGCTTTATGTGCGCTGGCTGACACACAGACAGTTGTATGACGTGTGTAGATCTGTGTCATCGATCTGTGTCAAGTCAGGCTGAAGGCCAACACTCTGGTGCTGCATTAATGATTTATGTCTCTTTGCAAAAATTCTGAATGCGTGTTTGGGTTTTTGTGTCAAATGACAAATTTGGGAATAAATGTTATACTTCACTTATTGACCAGGACAAAATTAGTGTCTTCAGTTTGATCTATCTACAGTCAGAGAAAAGGAAATGGATTCAAACTGTCGACAAAAAGACACAAAAATACAAAAAAAAAGACCAAAAGTACCACTGCTCAAAACTCTGTTAAACTCATACAGTAATTTATTATTGAATTAAAACAGAGGAGGCACTGGTTGTTGTTAAGTACAGTTTTAAGGTATTTGTACTTGAGTATTTCATTTTCTGTTACTTTAAACGTTTACTCTTCCATATTTCAGAGGTTTACTTTGAAGATTTTACAAGCAGTACATATGGTTGGTGTAATGTATGATGGATTGTTATAGATTACATTACCCAACAGTGTATATAATGTAGTCAAAATATATCACTGCTTCAATCAAAATCAAAAAAATATATATAAGGGCCATTATGCTGCTTAATGAGTAAGCAAAATTTTAAAGTTTTGAATGCAGGTCTTGTACTTGTAATGATGTATTTTCAGTTGGAGGTATTTTTACCTAAGTAAAGTTGTAAGTAGTACTTAATGTACTGAGGAGTGGAGGCTGTTCATTATATGTGGTTGTGGAGATAAATGCTGATTAATGGCCACATAATGATGCAACAGTCCTGTGTTATCGTGTCGTGCACAGAAAAATCAACCAAGTCATTTAATATGTCACAATTTTTATTAAAAATGTTCAAAACTGTTTCAAAAATACATTCTATAACATTTAAAAATACATTATTATTACACTTGAAATAACACATTAAAGCTGTGAGTGACTGTTATTGTCCTTAAAGTGAGGCTCAACACAGAAACTGCAAGCAAGCAGTCACATGCTGGACTCGTGTTCAATGTTTGTCCTTCTCCAGGACTCTGAGACAATTGAAATTATCATATTTTTCTAATTTCAGAACAGGTCTTTGGAAGTGCCGCTGGACATCCTGGATAGTGCTTTCACTTAGTGTCACACAGTGCTCAGAGTTCAGTGTCCAAATGGCACCAGTGACAAAATCCCATTGATCTCTTCTGCTTCTCCTGAAGGGAGCGTAATAAGCACCAGAGAAAAGTTTTTTGTATGGTCAGGAAGAGACTCTGCACTTCCACTTAATTAGTCTTTATAATCTGAGTTCATTGCTCACACTCCCTTTTTGTTCTGCAGGCTCAGAGCTCCGTTCACACAGTAGGGGATGATGCTGACGGTGATCAGAGGCACGGTGGCGCTCTTGCAGAAGGACAGCAGGTAGAAAAGGGCTGCGGTGTGCGTGGGAGGCTTGAAGGAGTCAAACAGGTGCAACAGGAACAGAGAACTGATGATGCAGCCTGCTTTGACCAGCGTGCTGCTGCTCTTCTTGGTCTCGGTGTAGAGCGGCGAGTGCAGGCCCAGGCCCAGACCGAACAGGGTGCCCATGTTGCGCAGGAGGCTGGCGAAGGGCGTGGTGTCCAGGTTGACCCACTCGGGCCTAACACACCACTTCTGGGCTTTCTCCAGGGTCCACAGCAGGTCCACGCCCACAGCTTTGAGCAGCAGGTAGAAGCCAACGGCGAAGGAGGTCAAGAAGAGGGTGGTGTAGAAGTACTTCTTCATGCTGGCGCTGTAGATCCACTGAGTTCTGTTGAAGGCTTCAGCAACGATCATACCTAAGACCAAAACACATTGAAAAGGTCAATATTATGTGGTTTATATTAAGCCAAGGGTGTAATTTCTGGGGGTGGTGAGGATATGCCCCATGTCACTCTGATTATTGTCCTCTTCCTAATGGGTTATTCAATCATCTACTGAAATTATATATTAAAACATATCCATACTGACCTGTGATGACACCAGCAACGACCTGGTGGGGAAAGTGGGCGGCGATGAAAACCCTGGAGAGACAGACACACACCTGGACTCCCCAAAACAGCGTCCACAGAACAGCCTTCAGATACCTGTCCAAATACACATTTAAATAAATTACAATTTCTGGTATGGAAAGTGTAGACCTCAGAAGAAGCTTGATTTAAATCAGTGTGGCCTTTGCTGACCATGCCCCAGAGCTAGGTTTTAAAACAATAAAACAATTAGCACAGTTATACTTTGCTTATCATGATATCATGAGAACCTCAGCTGCCTGGACGTCAAAACAACCCCCTCTGCTTTCCACCCAACATTTCTCAGAAGTCAATGATCAACCCCAGAGCTCAGGACAGATAGTGTGTCCACAGTGATAAGCTCTGAGTGGAAGAAAAATGGTAAACAACCCTGACATGTAGCAGGTTTTTGTAGGTTCTCGCAGACTCACCATTGTTTGTTGGTGGATTTCTTGCTTCCATGCTTCTTCTTGGTGGCCATGACGGCGAGGATGGAGGTCACCAGGGTGTAGTAGACGCCTGCAGCTCCCATAGCGTGTCCAGAGGGGCTGCCTGCATAACACACACAGAGAGGATAGAAATCAGTGGCTAATTCACTCGGGTAGAACTTAATGCTTTCTACATTGGCAATTGTTTTGTTGTCTGGTAATTTGATTAAATGCAACTTTATTTATGCACTAAAGGAAAAACTCAACTGACACCATAAGGGTTTTAAGATGGGTCCTTGAATTTTGCAGCTGATTTTATGCTTTCATGTGTTAATTTAATCAAACAGCACACAGCGACCTGAAGCTATGACATATTACTGCCCACATATCTCACCTGGTCCGGTCTCACAGGTCATGGCTATCAAAAAGCTTTCTTTTCGTGTAACTTGACATGGGGAAGTCTTTGTCAGCATCAAAGGTCATGTCGCTTCATGAAAAATCATCACTTTTTTGGGTGTTAAACTAACAGCAGTGACACACATACGTTTTTTCAAGGTGTTGTCATGTTGGCATTCTGTGAAAAGCAAAAATGGACAAATATGAATGTTAAGCTTGCACTGTTGGCTTTATGTGCGCTGCTGACACACAGACAGTTGTATGACGTGTGTAGATCTGTGTCATCGATCTGTGTCAAGTCAGGCTGAAGGCCAACACTGGTGCTGCATTAATGAGTTTTATGTCTCTTTGCAAAATTCTGAATGCTGTTTGGGTTTTTGTGTCAAATGACAAATTTGGGAATAATGTTATACTTCATTATTGACCCAGCGACAAAATTAGTGTCTTCAGTTTGATCTATCTACAGTCAGAGAAAAGGAAATGGATTCAAACTGTCGACAAAAAGACACAAATATACAAAAAAAAGACCAAAAGTACCACTGCTCAAAACTCTGTTAAACTCATACAGTAATTTATTTATTGAATTAAAACAGGAGCACTGCTTGTTTTAAGTACAGTTTTAAGGTTATTTGTACTTGAGTATTTCATTTTTCTGTTACTTTAAACGTTTACTCTCCATATTTAGAGGTTTACTTTGAAGATTTTACAGCAGTAATATGGTTGGTGTAATGTATGATGGATTTTATAGATTACATTACCACAGTGTAATAATGTAGTAATATATCATGCTTCAATCAAATCAAAAAATATATATAAGGGCATTATGGCTTAATGAGTAAGCAAATTTTAAAGTTTTGAATTGCAGGTCTTGTACTTGTAATGATGTATTTTCAGTTGGATGGTATTTTTCTTAAGTAAAGTCTGTATAAGTAGTATAAAATATTGTTCTACACAAGCAGGCATCTTGCTGAGATGTGCTGTTCCTACTTGCTTCCTATATCTGTGGTTGTGCGTGAGAGTAGATTTCTACTTGCTGAGTATAATTGGCACACGAATAATGTCGAGAGTGGTGTCGTTCAAGGTCTGTGTGAGTAACTGAATCCGTGATCGTGCACCAGATATATCACAGTCCCAAGCACAAGTCATTTATATGTCACAATTTTTATTAAAAATGTCAAAACTGTTTCAAAAAATCATTCTATAAATTAAATAAGATACTACTATTATTCAACTCTCTGAAATAACACATTAATAGGTGTGAGTGGAACTGTTATTGTCCTTAAAGTAAGGCTCAACACACAGAAGAAACTGCAAGCAAGCAGTCACATTGCTGGACTCGTGTTCAATGTTTGTCCTTCTCAGCAGACATGATGAAACATTGAAATTATCATATTTTTCATATTTCAGAACAAGGTCTTTGGAAGTGCCGTGCTGGGACATTCCTGGATAGTGCTTTCACTTAGTGTCCTACACAGTGCTCTCAGAGTTCAGTCTCGTCCAAATGCACGACTGAACAAAATCCATTGATCTCTTCTGCTTCTTCCTGAAAGGGAGCGTAATAAGCACCAGAGAAAAGTTTTTTGTTGTATGGTCAGGAAGAGACTCTGGACTTCACTTAATTAGTCTTTATAATCTGAGTTCATTGCTCACACTCTCCCTTTTTGTTCTGCGCAGGCTCAGAGCTTCCGTTCACACAGTAGGGGATGATGCTGACGGTGATCAGAGGCATGGCTTCTGCCAGGAAGGGGAGTCAGAGGTAGAAGGGGTGCGGTGTGGCGTGCGAGGCTTGTAAGGAGTCAAAAGGATGCAACAGGAACAGAAGAACTGATGATGCAGCCTGCTTGATGCCAGCGCTCGTGCTGCCTCTTTTTTGGTCTCTGTGTAGAGCGGCGAGTGCAGGCCAGGCCCAGACCGAAGCAGGGTGCCCATTGTTGCGGCAGAGTGATTGACGAGGGTGGTTGTACGTTGACCTCACGGCCTAACAACACAATTTTCTGGGCTTTCTCCAGGTCCACACGCACGCTCCAAGCTTTGAGCAGCAGGTAGATTCAGCAACTACGAGGAAGGGAGAGGTCAAAAGAGAGGGGTGGTCTTAGAAGTCTTTTTATTCATTGCGCTGCGTACTTATCACTGAGTTCTGTTGTAAGGCTTCAGCAATTCATGAACTAAGACCAACAATAGGAAAGGTCAATATTATTGGTTTTATATTGCAGAGCGAAGGGTGTAATGTCTGGGGTGTTTAGGGATATGCCCATGTCTACTCTGATTTTTGTCTCTTCCTAATGGTTTGTTTCAATAATCTACTGAATTTCTATATTAAAACATATCCATACTCGACCTGTGATGACCCAAACAATTGCAAGCGACCTGGTGGGGAAAGAGTGGGCGGCGATGAAATACCGAGGAGAACAGACACACCACTCTGGATCCCCCAAAACAGCGTCACAGAACAGCTTCAGATCACTTCCAATACATTAAATATTACAATTTCTGTATGGAAAGTGTAGACCTCAGAAGAAGCTTGATTTAAATCAGTGTGGCCTTTGCTGACCATGCCCCAGAGCCTAGGTTTTAAAACAATAAAACAATTAGCACAGTTATACTTTGGCTTATTATGATATCATGAGAACCTCAGCTGCCTGGACGTCAAAACAACCCCCTCTGCTTTCCACCCAACATTTCTCAGAAGTCAATGATCAACCCCAGAGCTCAGGACAGATTAGTGTGTCCACAGTGATAAGCTCTGAGTGAGAAAAATGGTAAACAACCTGACATGTAGCAGGTTTTTGTAGGTTCTCGCAGACTCACATTGTTTGTTGGGATTTCTTGCTTCCATGCTTCTTCTTGGGGCCATGACGGCGAGGATGGAGGTCACCAGGGTGTAGTAGACGCCTGCAGCTCCCATAGCGTGTCCAGAGGGGCTGCCTGCATAACAACACAGAGAGGAAGAAATCAGTGGCTAATTCACTCGGGTAGAACTAATGCTTTCTACATTGGCAATTGTTTTGTTGCTCTGGTAATTTGATATAAATGCCACTTTATTTATGCACTAAAGGAAAACTCAACTGAAACCATTAAGGGTTTTAAGACGGGTCCTTGAATTTTGCAAGCTGATTTTAATGCTTTCATGTGTTAATTTATCAAAC